CACACGTGTCCTTTATTTTGTACATCAGGAAGGGGGGCTAGGGAGGGGTAAGTGGAAGGAGGTGAGGGAGGAATGGGGTACGTGCCCCCGATGGAGAGGACTGGGCTGGCTCTGTGGGCTTCTCGGGGTGGAAGCTCTCCTGAAGCCCCTTGATTGACCCCCCCCCCATGGATGGCAGCCTGCGGCAAGTGCAGCCGGGCTGATGGCCGAGTGCTGTGATGTGCTGAGTGTGGGCACTCAGGGCACTCCAAGCCAGGACTGCTTTGCAAGCGGGGAACCCCTGAGAACTGTCTTTCCTGGGTGGGATTCGGGTCGCTTTAAGCACAGCCCTCGGCTATCCTGAGACAGCAGCTCCACACTCTAAGTCCTAATCTGATGCCCTGCCAGCACTGCTTCCGGCCATCCTGTGGACATGCTAGTTCGAATTAGCAAAACGCTAATTCAAACTAGTTTAAGTCTGGATGCGCTAATTCGAATTAGCTTAGTTCGAATTCACTAATTTGAACTAAGTTAGTTCGAATTAGCGCTGTAGTGTAGACATACCCTCTGAGAGCTGTGGCAGTGTTAATTCTTGAATCCTCACTTTCTGACACTATGCTCGAGTATCACCTATTGTCAAAATAGATGAAGTTTCTTTGCCTAAACCCTAACAACCTGCTGCTCGCCACATGACTGAGGAGTAATTCTGGTGTCCATGTTTGGTCTCCTGAGGCTTATCTACTGAGGCCTGGCTATGTGGAGGTGGCAAAGAGTACCAGAGGGGTGTGATCTGTAAAGCTCTCAAGTCCTGTGCTCTAACTATTCTGTGTGGACTCTCCTGACCTGCTCTGGTACCTAGTTTGTACTGAAATAGTCCCTTTTGGAACAGGACAGCAGCTTTCTTCAGGGAGGCCTACAGTTCAGCTGAACCAAGTGAGTATGAGATTTTGTTACTCCTCACTTATACTACAGGGTGTTCCATACTAGGCTGTTGGAAGGACTATCTGAGGAAACTTGTATTGTTGCTACTTCCACTCGCGTCATACTGCATGTAGCTAGACTAATTAATGAGCTTGTTTCCAGCCTTCAACCTGCTATTATCGCTAAACAAAAACAATAGGATGTCGAGCACTTATCTTTATTTGGTTGTCTCAGTCATTAATCATGAAGTGTTGACTTATTCTCGCTAAGCATGAAAGTTGAGCCCAGATATCAGGACATTAAATTTATTTCCCTCCTATCTCCCCACCAGAAATTGCCCTTGCAACATGAGCCAGATTCCTCAGAAGCGTTCTATGGAGCCGCCGTTGTTGGAGTGCATGAATTCCAGAGCAGATTCTTTGGACAGCTTGTCAATGGACAGTTTTTGGCTGGAGGTGGAGAATATCAAACAGAGCACTGAAGCTGAGCAAGAGGAGTGCAACCTTGCAGATGTCAAAACGCCAGAGGGTAGGTCGCTGGAAATACGGGTGGAGAGGAAAAGGTGTCATTGGCAAGGAACAAATCTCACTGGATAAACTTTTCAGAAATTACATACTTGAATCACTTTGAACTTGGGATGTAGGCTTCGCTGTGATTTAAGTACATACATACTCTGATTATTTTACCTGGGGACCTAAAAATGAACACTCTATTACAGCTTTCTTGTGCAAGTAAAGGATAGAGGCAGCTATTTTGGTGGGGGAAAGGGTGAAAGATGCTGAGGTGTGAAAAGAATTGTGCATCATGGCCTCATCTACACTGAGCATTGAAGCTGTGGTAGGCAACCTGCAGTCCATAGGCTGCATGCGGCCCAGCGGAGTTCAATATGTGGCCCGTGAGACCTTTTGTTTACCATTGCCCAAACGCAGAGTTGCCAGATTGCACTGGCTTCTGTCCATGTAGCTTATTTCCTACCAGTATTACTTTAGTAACACATACATAAAGCAAGGGCAAGGGAAAGGAGGTGCATGCTGATTGCACACACAGACTGAGAGAGCTGTGCGTTACATAAGAACTGCCGTACTGGGTCAGACCAAAGGTCCATCTAGCCCAGTAGCCTGTCTGCCGACAGTGGCCAGCACCAGGTGCCCCAGAGAGGGTGGACCGAAGACAATGATCAAGCGATTTGTCTCCTGCCATCCTTCTCCAGCCTCTGACAAACAGAGGCCAGGGACACCATTTCTAGCCCCTGGCTAATAGCCTTTTATGGACCTAACCTCCATGAAATTATCTAGCTTCTCTTTAAACTCTGTTATAGTCCTAGCCTTCACAGCCTCCTGTGGCAAGGAGTTCCACAGGTTGACTACATGCTGTGTGAAGAAGAAATTTCTTGTATTAGTTTTAAACTTGCTACCCATTAATTTCATTTGGTGTCCTCTAGTTCTTCTATTATGGGAACTAATAAATAACTTTTATTTATCGGCCCTCTCCACACCACTCATGATTTTATAGACCTCTATCATATCCCCCCTCAGTCTCCTCTTTTCTAAACTGAAAAGTCCCAGTCGCTTTAACCTCTCCTCATATGGGACCCGTTCCAAACCCCTAATCATTTTAGTTGCCCTTTTCTGAACCCTTTCCAAGGCCAAAATACCTTTTTTGAGGTGAGGAGACCACATCTGTACACAGTATTCAAGATGTGAATAGTTTTATACAAAGGCAGTACCATGTTCTGTGTCTTATTTTCTATCCCTTTCTTAATAATTCCTAACATCCTATTTGCCTTTTTGACTGCCGCTGCACCATTTTATACTAACAGATTAGGTTGTAAAATCTGCTCTTCACTTATCCACATTAAATTTCATTTGCCATTTTGTTGCCCAATCACTCAGTTTGGTGAGATCTTCTTGGAGTCCCTCACAGTCTGCTTCTGTCTTGACTATCCTAAACAGTTTGGTATCATCTGCAAACTTTACTACCTCACTGCTTACCCCTTTCTCCAGATCATTTATGAATAAGTTGAAAAGGATTGGTCCCAGGACTGACCCTTGGGATACACCACTAGTTACCCCTCTCCAATCTGAAAATTTACCATTTATTCCTACCCTTTGTTTCCTGTCTTTTAACAAGTTCTCAATCCATGAAAGGACCTTCCCTCTTATCCCATGACCATGTAATTTACATAAGAGCCTTTGGTGAGGGACCTTGTCAAAGGCTTTCTGAAAATCTAAGTATACTATATCTGCTGGATCCCCCTTGTCTGCATATTTGTTAACCCTTTCAAAGAACTCTAATAGATTAGTAAGACATGATTTCCCTTTACAGAAACCATGTTGCCTTTTGTCCAACAAATTATGTTCTTCTACGTGCCTGACAATTTTGTTCTTTACTATTGTTTTGACTAATTTGCCCACTACTGAAGTTAGACTTACTGGTCTGTAATTGCCAGGTTCGCCTCTAGAGCCCTTTTTAAATATTGGTGTCATGTTGGCTACCTTCCATTCATTAGGTTACGGAACCCGATTTAAAGGATAGGTTACAAACCACAGATAATAGTTCAGCAATTTCCCATTTGAGTTCTTTTAGAACCCTTGGATGAATGCCATCCGGTCCCAGAGATTTGTTAACATTAAGTTTTTCTATTTGTTCCAAAACCTCCTCTAATGACACTTCAATCCGGGACAGTTCCTCAGATTCATCACCCACAAAGGACCGTGCAGATTCAGGAATCTCCCCAACGTCCTCAGCCGTGAAGACTGAAGCACAGAAATCATTTAGTTTCTCTGCAATGGCTTTATCGTCCTTGATTGCTCCTTTTATAGCTCGATCATCTAGGGGACCCACAGGGTTTTTAGCAGGCTTCCTGCTTCTAATGTACATAAAAAACATTTTGTTATTTCTTTTTGAGTTTTTGGCTAGCTGTTCCTCAAAATCTTTTTTTGCTTTTCTTATTACATGTTTACACTTGATTTGACAGTGTTTATGTTCCTTTCTATTTATCTCACTAGGACTGGACTTCCACTTCTTAAAAGATACCTTTTGTCCCTCAGTGCTTCTTTTATATGGTGGTTAAGCCACGGTGACTCTTTTTTAGGTCTCTTGCTATGTTTTTTAATTTGGGGTATACATTTAAGTTGGGCCTCTATTATGGTGTCTTTAAAAAGTTTCCATGCAGCTTTAGTCACTGTGGCTTTTAATTTCCGCTTAACTAACCACCTCATTTTTGTGTAATTCCCCTTTTTGAAACTAAATGCCAGGCTGCTGGACTGCTGAGGTGTTCTTCCCACCACAGGAATGTTGAATGTTATTATATTATGGTCACTATTCCCAAGCCGTCCTGTAACGGTTATATCCTGGACCTGATCACTCACTCCACTCAGGACTAAATCAAGAATTGCCTCTCCCCTTGTGGGTTCCTGCACCAGCTGCTCCAAGAAGCAGTCATTTAAGCCATTGAGAAATTGTATCTCCGCTTCTCTTACTAAGGTGACATGTATCCAGTCAATATGGGGGTAATTAAAATCCCCCATTATTAAAATCCCCCATTATTATAGAGTTCTTTAAAGTCTATTCGTACTGCCTTTTACTGGCAATTAGGAGTGGGAGAGGACTGGGAGGAATTATTTTGCCTCTGAAGAGCCGTGTTATTGAGACAGCTCCTGGAATACTGCATCCAGTTTTGGTGTCCATATTTTGAAAAAGGATGTAAAGAGAACCACAAGTATCGCTGTCCTGGTCAGGTGGTCGGAAATATATCCCTACTGCTAATTTCTTATTATTGGAGCATGGAATTACTATCCATAGCGAGTCTATTGAACATGTTGATTCATTTAACATTTTTATTTCATTTGATTCTACATTATCTTTCACATACAGTGCCACTCCGCCACCCACCCAGCCTGCTCTATCCTTTCTATATATTTTATATCCCGGTATGATTGTGTCCCACAGATTTTCCTCATTCCACCAGGTTTCAGTGATGCCTATTATGTCAATCTCCTCCTTTAATACGAGGTACTCTAGTTCACTCATCTTATTAGTCAGACTCCTGGCATTTGTGTAGAAGCACTTCAAAATTTGCCACTGGTTATTTGTCTGCCCTTCCCGGATGCATTGGATTCCTTTATATGCGGTTGTTTGTCAGCTCTGGCCCATGGTTTGTTCTCTCCGCTCCTCTTTCTGACTACAGCTTAGAGAATCTCTATCAATGGATTCTCCTCTAAGAGAAGTCTCCATCTGATTTACGTGCATCTCCGCACCAATCGGCTTTCCCCCATCTCTTAGTTTAAAAACTGCTCTACGGCCTTTTTAATGTTTAGTGCCAGCAGTCTGGCATCCAATCAAAGCACTGCTACAGCACACCCTGCAAATTCTAGGTACTCAAGTGCAGTTAGTAAAATTACTCTATCTCAGGAGACCATCTTGATTATGACAATCTTGTGGCCCAATCACTACGGTAAGTTGCCCATTGCTGATGTAAATCATTATGGAAGCTTTATTTGCATAAGATCAGGAACTGTAGGTGCAAATTGCCAAATTTCCAAACAGTCTCCTCAGTTGCAGTGGTATCACCTGGCCTGTTCAGATGAGTCCTTGGGTTTCCAAATTGGATTTAGATGTGCATGGATATCTGATCTTCTTTTGTGAAATGCTGTACACCCGCATGTTTCTGGATATGCTAGGGTTGCATTTGTTCAAATATGCACAAATTGAGAAAAGGTGTCGTCTTACAAGGAGGCGACTTTTTATTTCCTTTATTTCTTGTGAATTGGTGCCTTTTGAAAAAGGGCGAGGGAGGGGGGACATGGCTGTAGTGAACAGCCAGGATAACTAACCCATAGATTACATGTAGTTTGCTTTATTAGGCAGTCTAAAAGTGAACATATGAATGGGGGTATTTCTATTGGCTTGTCAGTAGAATTGGTACCAAGCATAATGCTTTTGAAAAAATTTTTATATAAATGATCTGGAAATATAAAATCAATGCTGATAAAGCTTGTGGATGATCCAAAGATTTGGAGAAGTGGTAAATAGTGGTGACAGGACATTCATCCTAAGCAATATGAATGGCCCCAACTTACCAAGTGATCAAACAGAATGGTCTGCAATTGATTGCCTTTAAAACTAGGAACATACAGTCCATACTGCATCCTGAAAAGCAGAGACTCTGAAAAGGATCTAGGGGTCACAGTGGCAAAAAGAGCTAATGAAATTATTGGTCGTGAATAGGACCAAGGAGGTGATTTAAATTCTACATGTGGCAAGTGGTGAGACTGATACTGATTTGGTGTATACATTTTTGTAAAAGATTCAGAAAAAAATTGGGAGGATAAAGGAAAAAAAGCCACAGAAATGATCTAAGGCTGAAGAAAATGCCATTGAAGTGAGGCACGTAAGCTCAATCGGTTTAGCTAACCAAAAAGTTCATTGAGAGGACTCAACTATGATGTATAAATGGCTATGCAAAGAGAAAATGCTGGGTACCAGAGTATTCCGTAGTGGGAAAAGGACATAACAAGAACCAATGA